AGAGACATGAAGAAGAGGGGACACATGTTGAGTAGAAGAGACATGAGAAGAGGGACACATGTAGAAGAGACATGAAGAAGAGGGGACACATGTTGATGTAGAAGAGACATGAAGAAGAGGGGACACATGTTGATGTAGAAGAGACATGAGAAGAGGGGACACATGTTGATGTAGAAGAGACATGAAGAAGAGGGGACACATGTTGGATGTAGAAGAGACATGAAGAAGAGGGGACACATGTTGATGTAGAAGAGACATTAGAAGAAGAGGGGACACATGTTGATGTAGAAGAGACATGGAGAAGAGGGGACACATGTTGATGTAGAAGAGACATGAAGAAGAGGGGAGCACATGTTGATGTAGAAGAGACATGAAGAAGAGGGGGACACATGTTGATGTAGAAGAGACATGAAGAAGAGGGGACACATGTTATGTAGAAGAGACATGAAGAAGAGGGGACACATGTTGATGTAGAAGAGACATGAAGAAGAGGGGACACATGTTGATGTAGAAGAGACATGAAGAAGAGGGGACACATGTTGATGTAGAAGAGACAATGAAGAGAGGGGACACATGTTGATGTAGAAGAGACATGAAGAAGAGGGGGACACATGTTGATGTAGACAGAGACATGAAGAAGAGGGGGACACATGTTGATGTAGAAGAGAATGTTGATGACCAGAAGACGATCATGAAGAAGAGGGGACACATGCTGACTGTAGAAGAGACATGGAAGAAGAGGGGACACATGTTGATGTAGAAGAGACATGAAGAAGAGGGAGGACAACATTTTGATGTAGAAAGAGGACATGATGACAGAAGAGGTGACACATGTTGATGTCGGAAAGAGACGATGAAGAAGCGGGGCTACACATGTTTATGTAGAAGAGGACATGAAGAAGAGGGGACACATGTTGTTGATGTAGAAAGAAGAGACATGAAGAAGAGGGGACACATGTTGATGTAGAAGAGACATGAAGAAGAGGGGACACATGTTGATGTAGAAGAGACATAAAGAAGTGGATATTGCATAATAGGTGACTTTTAACTAAATATTTGAACAATACACGTTTAATTTCTAAAATGTTCTTGTTTGTTTTTTGTTTGTTTAAAGAAATTGTCTTTCAGTACACACTCCGGTACAGCAGGGGGCGGCACCTTCAAACGTTGGCTTTAAGCCCGCCATTAAAAACACTGAAGAAGAAGAAGAAGAAGAGAGGAACTACTTCCGGTTGACGGTGTTCACGTTTTGATGTCCTTGGTGGATATTTCATAATAAATGCGATAAATATCACTTATTATACGTGTTGTTGTATTCCTCCGGATATCTGACGGTGGCGGGAGTTTGTTCCGCATCCAGTGAGTCGGTATGTGGAAAACATTTATATAAAATAATAACAAATAACCTCTGTGTTGTTTTCTGTTAGCATGAAGCTAACGTTAGCGTGTAGACAGGTGGGTGATTTATGAGTATAAGTACAAGATCTGAGTACTTCTACTTTTACTCAAGTACAAGATCTGAGTACTTCTACTTTTACTCAAGTACAAGATCTGAGTACTTCTACTCAAGTACAAGATCTGAGTACTTCTACTTTTACTCAAGTATAAGACCTGAGTACTGTTACTGAAGTACAGGATGTGAGTACTTCTACTGTTACTGAAGTACAGGATGTGAGTACTTCTACTGTTACTGAAGTACAGGATGTGAGTACTTCTACTGTTACTGAAGTACAGGATGTGAGTACTTCTACTGTTACTGAAGTACAGGATGTGAGTACTTCTACTGTTACTGAAGTACAGGATGTGAGTACTTCTACTGTTACTGAAGTACAGGATGTGAGTACTTCTACTGTTACTGAAGTACAGGATGTGAGTACTTCTACTGTTACTGAAGTACATGATGTGAGTACTTCTACTGTTACTGAAGTACATGATGTGAGTACTTCTACTGTTACTGAAGTACAGGATGTGAGTACTCCTCTCCCCTCTGCTGCTCAGCAGAAAGTCAATGTGCGTAGAAGGTGAATTTAAACTATGATAAACTCTGTGTAGTTCGTCGTGTACTCCTATCATCCTATTCGTTCCTATCTTAACTTAAATACACCACGTACGTATATGTTTTTGTTCTTGCTCAGACAGAATGTTTGTCCCCCGTCTTGAATCTTGTGAGTGAGCATCGTTCACAAGAAGTCACCAAAGGGTTTGTCGTGTTTTTCTGAAACATCATCTCCTCTGTTTTTTAGAAATGTCTTTATTGTGGAGCGTGAGGCCGGCGCTGACGTCTCTGTTTCACGGTGAGTGGGAATGTGTGTGTGTGTGTGTGTGTGTGTGTGTGTGTGTGTGTGTGTGTGTGTGTGTGTGTGTGTGTGTGTGTGTGTGTGTGTGTGTGTGTGTGTGTGTGTGTGTGTGTGTGTGTGTGTGTGTGTGTGTGTGTGTGTGTGTGTGTGTGTGTGTGTGTGTGTGTGTGTGTGTGTGTGTGTGTGTGTGTGTGTGTGTGTGTGTGTGTGTGTGTGTGTGTGTGTGTGTGTGTGTGTGTGTGAATGACTTGTAGTAATGTGAAGAGCTTTGATGAGTCGAGAAGACCTGAAGTACAGAAAATGTATCATTTACAAAATGGCACACATTCATTAAGACAACGCCTCATTTGCATATTTAAACATATCATTCAGAAAATGTGTAACATAAAGAATATTTGTGATGTCAGTACTGAAGTGGGGGGTGATGCGTGTTAGTTACAGTGTCTCCCTGTATCATCTGAATGTCCCCTCCCTGCAGCCTCCCAGCATGCACCTCTCTGGTCGGGTCGCGCCATGGCTACTCTGAACCAGATGCACCGTCAGGGGAAACCCAAATCTCCGCCCCAGCACGTGGGCGCCACGTTCGGCCGGCCGCAGCTGAAGGCCGTGGTTCTGAAGACCATGATCCGGAAGCCCAAGAAGCCCAACTCGGCCAACAGGAAGTGCGCTCGCGTGCGTCTGTCCAACGGGAAGGAGGTGGTGGTGTTCATCCCCGGGGAGGGACACAACCTGCAGGAGCACAACGTGGTGCTGGTGGAGGGGGGGCGCACCCAGGACCTGCCCGGGGTCAAACTGAAGGTGGTGCGCGGGAAATATGACTGTGCTCACGTGGTGAAGAAGACTCACTGATGGGAGAGAGAGTGTGTGTGTGTGTGTGTGTGTGTGTGTGAGATGTTGTGTTAATAAATGAAGTTACCATGAGGGCGAGTCAGAACTTTGCTTTGGGTTCACTGCGAGGCCAGAAGGTTCAAGGCTTTTATTGTCACGTGTTCATAGCTACTGTGTAGATATATCAATGAACATCTTAGGCTCCTCCTCCTTCAGAGCAACACAATAACACAGATCAAATAGTGCAAGAAGAGTCTGGAATTGGAATATGATATATTGGATAAATAATTCGTAAGTTGCAAACAGATGAATGTTGTTTCCAAAGTTCAGGTGTTTAACGGTCTGATGTAATAATAATATATTTTATTTCTATAGCGCTTTTCTTGAACCCAAAGACGCTTTACATTTGGGAGGGAGGGTAGACAAACAAAAACAAAGCCAAAAAGAAACGAGGGGGGGGGGGGCTTATGGATACAGAGTTGAAGAGGTGGGTTTTGAGGCGGGACTGGAACAGGGTGAGGGACTCAGACTCACGGAGGTGTTTGGGGAGGCAGTATGTAGACACTAACTTTCATGTTTTTATTAATTACGTATTTTCTGGATTTGACCTGTAAGAAAACAATCGATAAGATGTCAAAGTGGATCTGCAATCATTAAAGGAATACTTCATGCAGCGATGCAGATTCTATCCTTTCAAATGTGGAGATTTTATATTCAAGGTGTATTGTCATAAACACAACTACGGTTGAATTATGTGTGAACAAAAACTTAGATGGCCGGTTCCTCAGCAGTGCCACTACAAGACATAAAACCACATATTAAAGTGCATATATTCGGACACACCATCGTGGACCTTTTTCACGATATTCTGGCTTTTTGATACATCAATGGTCGATTTAGAAAATAATCTGCAGATGAATTAAAACATCAAAAATATGTTTTAGGTTCAGGTCTAAATGTCAGGGTAGGATCAAACGAAGCATCCGAAGGGAAACCGTTTTACAAATAAATACGACTTGTGAAGAACACGTACTTTAAAGGTCCCATGCCATGGCCATCTCTACTGATCATAGTTCCATTGTTGAGGTCGACTAGAATAGATTCACATTGTTCAATGTTCCAAACTCTCATTGGTTTCTCACAGCATCTCTGTATAGTCTGTGTATTCACTCTCTGTCCTACACGGCTTGTTGGAGCTCCTGCCCCCCCCCCCCTCCCTGTGAGCCCACTGTGCTCTGATTGGTCGCGACGTTGAGAGGCTCGTTGCTGTGAGCTGCTGCGAGGAGCAGACAGGCTTCCGGGTCGGCGATACAGCGAGAACAAGCGAAACTCATCCTGAGCACACAAACACTCACAGCCGAAGTAAAGACAATAAGTGTGGCTTGATATTGAGAAAGAAACAGGTTTATAACGCTGTGGGTCTGCGGAGAGCATTTCTCCACCATCCCAACGTAGTAGCCCGAAAAACGTTTACCCATTTAAACAGTCGTGGAAGATACCTTGTTTGTTTTAAACATCATAAATACACAAACAACAATGAACACTTACAGGTTGTGTACCCAAATCTCCCGCTGGTCCAAACAAAGTAGGAACAGCATCGTTCTTCAGTGCCCTACGCTGAGCATATCCGGCATCAATCGCTGAAAGGTTTGTGAAGCTTTGTTTCGTGAAAGGCTGGCAGAGGGTGTGGCCTCTGGGCGTGGCTACTGGGTATCCCTACGTCAGAGTACCCAGGAAGAACATGAGAAATCTCCAACGAGGCGTTTTGGGGAGGTATTTTCTGTGTTAGAGTTTTACTCGCTACAGGGTGTACTTTGAGGGTTTGTGACTCTGCAGACCGTCCACATGCAGAAAAACATTCATAACACACAAGGGGACGGGTAATAACCGGAAAAGCATGACATGAGTCCTTTAAAATAGCAGTTTTTACTCCCGGTGAGCGGATTTTGAGGAATTTAGGGTGGAGTTTAAAGTTTAAGGGGACTCAAAACAGCCTTTTTGGATCCTAAATGTGTCAGAAATAGATTTGTATGGCAGTATATTCAGATGTATGGACCCCCAGCAGGGGCAGGGATGCTGGAATAGCTCAATACAGGGAAACTATATTCAACACAAAGCCATTTAGGGGTTTTAGAGGAACAGTGTGGAAAGATCAAATGGTAATGAGCATGTTAAGAATTGGACAGCATTCCTAATAGTACACTTTGAGCAAAGAGCAGGAAACAGTTGAACATGTTGTCCTCCTGCAGGAAAAATACTCAGCAAAGACAGGAAATGATGACAAGGCTAAGGAAAGTGGGAAGAGTTGGAAGTATATTGGATTGTGGAGAACACTCAGAGGAGGGAAACTGGTCTGGTGGACAGACTTCAAGGGAAGGAACAGTAACATCCAGAAGGAGGCAGCAATGATCCTGTGGATGCAAACTGTCGTAAAGCACCGAAGAAGAACCCCGTGGAGCTAACTGAAGCTACTGGACGTTTAAAAACTGTCAAAACGTTCAGACCCTTTTAACCAGTTGTTTCATTGGCCCTTTTCTGAAAACTACGTACACGGTAAGTGTTGTAGTGTTTCGTGACCGTTAACGCGTTAATGTAACACTACCGCCGCTGCTGAGCTAAGAGGACCGCCTGTGCCTGTTTAAATTCAGCCATTTGTACCTGCCTTTTAGCGAAGTAAGGTGTATTTTTGGTCTTTTACACACTCCTGAAATTAGCTTGAATACTCCTGAATGGTTGTTGAGAACTGTTTATTTTATGTAGTCGGATAATCTCTTCAACTTTGATTACAAAAAATAGATTAAAGTAATATTGAAGGACAGAAATGAGCGTTTCGCTGAGGCAGCTGTTCAGGACCGCGTTCTGTTATATTACGCCCGCACTAGCACAGGCTAACACAGCTAGCGTCACGTTAAGGCAACAATAGAACCGTGTGCTGCTCCTGGAGGATTTTAAAACGGTGTCAATCATGTTGGACCTTTTTTAACCACTTTGTGTGTCATTCCTATTCCTGACACTAAAGTAACAGTACGTGTGTTGCCGTGAACATTTACGCTATAATGTACCACTACAGCAGCTGCTAAGCTAAGAGTGCCTGTTTAATTTCACCCACATTTACCTGCCTTTTACCGAAGCTAGGTGTATTTACCCTATGGTATTTACAAGTAGAAATACTCAGATCTTGGACTTAAGTAAAAGTAGAAGTACTCAGATCTTGTACTTGAGTAAAAGTAGAAGTACTCAGATCTTGTACTTGAGTAGAAGTAGAAGTACTCAGATCTTGTACTTGAGTAAAAGTAGAAGTACTCAGATCTTGTACTTGATTACAAGTAGAAGTACTCAGATCTTGTACTTGAGTAGAAGTACTCAGATCTCAGCTTCGGCTGGAGGATTCACATCACAAGTCCAAGAGCCAGAGGTTCTGACTTCACAGGAGAGTTGCCATGTCAATTCTGGAGCGCCTCTCTCTCGTCAGCCCATTTAACTGGTTTCACAGAGAGTAATCAACATATTTGAGAAGATAGCCAAACAGTTGGGAACACTGAGTTACTTGCGTCTGACACTTATGGCCTCGAAGATTTCACACCTTGGAGTCCACAAACACAGAGAAGGAAGTGTCCCAGTGTACCCACAACAATAAACCATCTGTGACCTAGGGTTGCCCGGTCATCGAATGGGAACAACAACATTATGGCTGAAGCAGCCTATCTCCTTAAAGGAGATAACAGACGTCAGGGTTGGTCATGCACGTCATATCTAGGAGTCTAGGACAATTATTTCCCTAACAAGTAGAAGTACTCAGATATTGTACTTGAGTAAAAGTAGAAGTACTCAGGTCTTGTACTTGAGTAAAATCAGAAGTACTCAGATCTTGTTCTTGAGTAAAAGTAGAAGTACTCAGATCTTGTACTTGAGTAAAAGTAGAAGTACTCAGATCTTATTCTTGAGTAAAAGTAGAAGTACTCAGATCCTGTACTTGGGGAAGTACTCAGATCCTGTACTTGAGTAAAAGTAGAAGTACTCAGATATTGTTCTTGAGTAAAAGTAGAAGTACTCAGATCTTGTACTTGAGTAAAAGTAGAAGTACTCAGATCTTGTACTTAGTAAAAGTAGAAGTACTCAGATCTTGTACTTGAGTAAAAGCAGAAGTACTCAGGTCTTGTACTTGAGTAAAAGTAGAAGTAGTCAGATCTTGTACTTGAGTAAAAGTAGAAGTACTCAGATATTGTACTTGAGAAAAAGTAGAAGTACTCAGGTCTTGTACTTGAGTAAAAGTAGAAGTAGTCAGATCTTGTACTTGAGTAAAAGTAGAAGTACTCAGATATTGTACTTGAGAAAAAGTAGAAGTACTCAGGTCTTGTACTTGAGTAAAAGTAGAAGTACACAGATCTTGTAGTAAAAGTATAAGTACTCAGATCTTGTACTTGAGTAAAAGTATAAGTACTCAGATCCTGTACTTGAGTAAAAGTAGAAGTACTCAGATCTTGTACTTGATTACAAGTAGAAGTACTCAGATCTTGTACTTGAGTAGAAGTACTCAGATCTCAGCTTCGGCCGGAGGATTCACATCACAAGTCCAAGAGCCAGAGGTTCTGACTTCACGGGAGAGTTGCCATGTCAATTCTGGAGCGCCTCTCTCTCGTCAGCCCATTTAACTGGTTTCACAGAGAGTAATCAACATATTTGAGAAGATAGCCAAACAGTTGGGAACACTGAGTTACTTGCGTCTGACACTTATGGCCTCGAAGATTTCACACCTTGGAGTCCACAAACACAGAGAAGGAAGTGTCCCAGTGTACCCACAACAATAAACCATCTGTGACCTAGGGTTGCCCGGTCATAGAATGGGAACAACAACATTATGGCTGAAGCAGCCTATCTCCTTAAAGGAGATAACAGACGTCAGGGTTGGTCATGCACGTCATATCTAGGAGTCTAGGACAATTATTTCCCTAACAAGTAGAAGTACTCAGATATTGTACTTGAGTAAAAGTAGAAGTACTCAGGTCTTGTACTTGAGTAAAATCAGAAGTACTCAGATCTTGTTCTTGAGTAAAAGTAGAAGTACTCAGATCTTGTACTTGAGTAAAAGTAGAAGTACTCAGGTCTTGTACTTGAGTAAAAGTAGAAGTACTCAGATCTTGTACTTGAGTAAAAGTAGAAGTACTCAGATCTTGTTCTTGAGTAACAGTAGAAGTACTCAGATCCTGTACTTGGGGAAGTACTCAGATCCTGTACTTGAGTAAAAGTAGAAGTACTCAGATCTTGTTCTTGAGTAAAAGTAGAAGTACTCAGATCTTGTACTTGAGTAAAAGTAGAAGTACTCAGATCTTGTACTTAGTAAAAGTAGAAGTACTCAGATCTTGTACTTGAGTAAAAGTAAAAGTACTCAGATCTTGTACTTAGTAAAAGTAGAAGTACTCAGATCTTGTACTTGAGTAAAAGCAGAAGTACTCAGATCTTGTACTTGAGTAAAAGTAGAAGTACTCAGATCTTGTACTTGAGTAAAAGTAGAAGTACTCAGATCTTGTACTTAGTAAAAGTAGAAGTACTCAGATCTTGTTCTTGAGTAAAAATAGAAGTACTCAGATCTTGTACTTGAGTAAAAGTAGAAGTACTCAGATCTTGTACTTGAGTAAAAGTAGAAGTACTCAGATCTTGTACTTGAGTAAAAGTAGAAGTACTCAGATCTTGTACTTAGTAAAAGTAGAAGTACTCAGATCCTGTACTTGAGTAAAAGTAGAAGTACTCAGATCTTGTACTTAATAAAAGTAGAAGTACTCAGATCTTGTTCTTGAGTAAAAGTAGAAGTACTCAGATCTTGTTCTTGAGTAAAAGTAGAAGTTCCAGAGTGTAGGAATACTCTGTTTCAGTAAAAGTCCTGCATTCAAAATGTTCCTCAAGTGAAAGTAGAAAAGTATTCTCATCAAAATATAGTGAAAGTAGCGACAGTAAAAGTAGTGTTTCTGCAGATTGGTCCATTTCAGAATAATATATATGATATGTTTTATAATGATTGATCATGAAAGTGTTCTCAAAGCTGGTGAAGGTGCAGCTAGTTTGAAGTACTTTGTATACTGCAGGGTAGCTGGTGGATTTACTCCAGGTGGAACTAAAGTCTGATTTAACACTTGGTTAGATTTCACATCATTCATCCACATCTGAGAAGTAACTGAAGGTATTTATACAATAATAAAGCATTATTTATTTTACAAAACTGAAACTGTTTTAAACTAATTTCCGTCAGATTCAGTCAGCCGTGATTCGACTTTGGTATTTCAATCTGATTTACATTTGAATGTCTCAGGCGTGAGGAGAGGTCCGGCTTCAGGAGCAGAGCACGAGGAGATGAATGGGGGCAAAGCAGAACCACGAGGAGAGGATGATGATGAGGAGGAGCCTCCTGCTGAAGGTCAGCGCTACACCAATAATCAATATGCATGTTGAGTGAGTGGGCAGCAGGTGATTAATGTCAGTCATTTCCTGCAGACACCAAGACCACCAAAAAGAGACGCCCTCCCCCCAAACTCGTGCACAAATGTTTGGTATGCAGCCGCATGTTCTGCCGGCCCTCTCGGCTGGCGGATCACATGACCCTGCACACCGGGGAGAAACCGCACGGCTGCTCCGTGTGCGAGAAGAGTTTCGCCAATAAGACCAGCCTCGCTCATCACAAGCGCGTTCACACCGGGGAGAAGCCGTACTCCTGCGATGAATGCCACGCCTGCTTCCGCCTGTACAGCTGCCTGGCGCGCCACCGGATGCAGCACAGCGGGGAGCGCCCGCACCGCTGCTCCACCTGCGGCCACGGCTTCTTCCGCCGCCGGTACCTCCAGGAGCACGAGCGCACGCACACCGGAGAGAGGCCTTTCTGCTGCACGCTCTGCCCCAAAACCTACCCTTCCCGGGCGTCGCTCAAAGAGCACCAGTGGCAACACAGAGAGGGCAGCAGCTGCTCCGTCTGCGGGAAGGACTTCCCCACAGCAGGCTCCCTCCGCAAGCACATGAGGGTGCACGCCACCAATTACACTAAAACACACCAATGCACGCTGTGCAGCCGCAGCTTCAGCAGACCCTGCCTGATGAGGAAACACCTGCTGACTCACGACCTGCAGACTCGCGACCTGCAGACTCACGACCTGCAGACTCACGACCTTCAGGAGGCAGAGGTCATCCCAGCTGCAGCCAACAACGTGAGTCACAGCTTTAAACCTCAACCTGTCAAATATTTTATATTATTGATTAAATCTCTCTTTTTTTATGGAGTAACCATTTATACATCAATGTTAAAGACATTCTGAGTCAAATCTTATACTTAAAAAAACTCTTAAATGTAGCTGAGTAATTAGAGTAAAATCTTCTTTTTTATTAAATTATATATTTTATCAAGTGATAGACATAAATGTGTCTAATTTCTTAATCACTAAAATCCATATTTCTTATTTCCACGGAGCGACAGTTTTCTATCCTCTGACTTTTTAATTAAAAAAAGTATTTACTTTTTTTACTATGAAGTGACTGTTTTCTATTTGTTCTACTTTAATAAAGTAATAGTTTAAAGTTCACTCATTTTGATGAATCGGTGTAAAATCTGACTTTATTATATTTTTTATTAAGTGACTTTTGACACAAATGTGTGAATTCCTTATCTTTTATTTTATATAACATTTTCATTTTTGTTGTTTTATAAATCTCGTGTAAAATGAAAAAATATTCTTAAAGTTGCCGAATTCTGACTTTATTTTGAAATTCTGAAAATGTTGATTATATATTTATTTTATTTGAGCTCTTTTCAAATTCTTTACTTTTTTCTCAAATTTCTGACTTATTTTCCAAAAAATCTGACTTTATATCAAAATCTCAGAATTCTGACTTTTTAAAAAAAATCTGACTTTTTCCAAAAAAATCTGAATTGTTTCTCAAAATCTAAAAAATGCAGACTTTTTCTCAATCTTACAATCCTGCTTTATTCCTCGAAATTCAGACCTAACATTTTTGACTTCTGAAATTCTTAAAATGAGAGCTTTCCTCAGCATCTTGACTTGTCTTCCTGCAACCACTCACAGAACTAACACAGAGTAGCAGTAACGAAGTGGGCGGGGCTATATAACATCATGCATGTTTTGGTTCGTCTCAAACCCACGTGAAATCATAGTCGAGTGTAACGGGATTTAAACTGAGCTGCAACAGAACAACGTGGTTGTGCAGCAAACGTCAGATTTAATAATTAAATATGAGGTCGTTTCAGGAGTTCTGGTTAAACGTAAAGACTGAAGAGGAAGAGGAGGAGGAAGTTCAGATGATGAAGATCGAGGAGGAGGGTCTGAACGAGCAGGTAACGAATTCAGCTTCAACGATGGAGTCCTTTTCAATCATCCTGTGACACACACACACACACACACACACACACACACACACACACACACACACACATACCTACCTACACCCACACAATCACTCACACCTACACACATCTACACACACCTGCACACACACACACACACACACACACACACACACACACACACACACACACACACTCTTTATGTGTCTTTTTGTTTCCTGAAATTAGACTAAATTGTTGTTTTATGTTAAGACATTGTTTCCTGTCTGTTTGTTCCCAGGACTCGGAGGAGCTTTCTCCCGCAGAGTCCAGACCGCATGTCCATGACGACGCCTCACGGCCAAAAGAGGAAGAGGAGGAGGAGGAAGAGGAGGGC